TTTTCTTCAGAAAATGAATTTTTATGGTTTCACGCCTTACATTTAAGTCTTTAATCCATCTTGAATTAATTTTTGTATATGGCAAGAGATAGGGATCCTGGTTAATTCTTCTGCATGTGGCTATCTCATTTTCCCAGCACCATTTATTGAATAGAGCTTCCTTTCTCCAGTGTATGTTGTTGTCTGCTTTCTCAAAGATCAGTTGGTTGTAGATAGATGGCTTTATTTCTGTTCCATTGGTCTATGTCTTTGCTTTTATACCAATACCATGCTATTTTGGTTACTATAGCCTTGTAGTATAATTTGAAGTCAGATAATGCAATGCCTACAGATTTGTTCTTTTTACTTAAGATTGCTTTGCCTATTTGGGCTCTTTTTTGGTTCCAAATAAAAGGTTAGGATTATTTTTTCTAGATCTGTGAAATATGATGCTGGTATTTTGATGGGAATTGCATTGAATCTGTAAATCACTTTGGATAGTATGGACATTTTAACTATGTTGATTCTACCAATCCATCAGCAGGGGATGTTTTTCCATTTGTGTCATCTGTGATTTTTCATCAGTGTTTTGTAGTTCTCCTTGTAGAGGTCTTCAACGTCCTTTGTTATGTATATTCCTAGGTTTTTTTTTTTTTAAACCTATTGAGAATGTTATTGAGTCCTTGATTTGACTCTCCTGTCATTAGTATACAGAAATGCTACTGATTTGTGTGCACTGATTTTGTAACCTGAGGCTTTGCTGAACTTATCAATTCCAGTGGAGTCCTCAAGGTTTTCTAGATATGATATCATCAACAAACATTTTGACCTCTTTCCCAGTCTGGATGCCCTTTATTTCCTTCTCTTGCCTGATTGCTGATGTTGGCTGTGGGTTTGTTGTATATGGCTTTTATAATTTTGAGGTATGTTGCTTCTAAGCCTAGTTTGTTGAGAGTTTTTATTATGAAAGGGTACTGGATTTTGTTGAATGCTTTTTCTGCATCTATTGAGATGAACATGTGGTTTTTGTTTATGTGATGAATCATGTTTATTGATTTGCATATGTTAAACCATCCTTGCATCCCTCGGATGAAATTCACTTGATAGTGGATTATCTTTTTGATGTGCTGTTGAATTCAGTTTGCTATTATTTTGTTGAGGATTTTTGCATCAATGTTCATAAAGGATAGTGGTCTGGTTTTCTTTTTTGTTGTGTCCTTTCCTGGCTTTGGTATCAGGGTGATACTGGCTTTGTAGAATGAATTAGGGAGGATTCCCTTCTTCTTGATGTTATGGAATAGTGGAGAATATGGACTACGTACCAGTTCTTTGTAGGTCTGGTAGAATTCAGCTGTGAATCCGTCTGGTCCAGTGCTTTTTTT